GACGTCATCTGGTGAAAAAAATTGAATGGAAAGTGGGGTTTTGTGACACTGACGAATACTTGACATTCCTAGAATATGAAGTCGATATCTTCACCTACTACAAAATGGCGGAACATTTAATAATTTCCTTAAGACAAACACACCTAGAAATATTCCTTTTTATCTGATATATGGCAATTCCAACAACCCGATAAGGTTTGTTGAGTTATTTTTTGCTTATAAATAAAAAATGTCAGTACGACAATGAACATCATTTTTCTGTTAGAATATTCTCATTAAGTTTTCATTTTTACTAGTAAAAAGGTACCACGTCAACAATCTCTAAAATGGTCAATTCTTGTCCATTGGAAGATAAAACTGAAGCGATTTTTATTTATGGTGCAACGCGTAACTTTCACGAGACCGAAAGTGTTTTCAACGAACGTTTTCCGAATCGTCCTATCTGTAGAAAATATTTGAGGGAACTTGTATCCAAATTCACAACTACCGGTAGTGTACATAACAAAAAGCCTCCAGGTCATCCGTCCATTCCGGAAGAACAGCAAGTGCAAATAATTAGTGAGATGGTAGTAAATCCTAAACAGTCTACTCATTCCGTCGCGAATGTTTGTGAGGTGTCTCCTTCTACTGTGTGGAGACATTTGAAGAGAAATAGGTATAATCCATATGAAAATAAAATGGTACACCAATCAACTGAAGATGACCCTGATCGAAGAACAGAATTCTGCGAAATCATGACGAAAACCATTGCTAGGCTTCCTACCTATCTCCACAATATTTGTTTCAGTGACGAATTTACATTTTTTTCCAAACGGCAATCTTCACAGACAAAATTGCCGTTATTGGAGTGACACCAACCCTCACGTATTCCGAGAAACACATACCCAATATCCAGAAAAAATCAACATTTGAGCAGGAATCTTGGGAAACCATATTGTAGGACCTCTATTTATTGATCTCATCACTGAAATCGTCGAAGCGAATCCGAATGAATTCGATATGGATATTGTATTCCAAAAAGCTGGAGCACCACCATAATATTCCAGACAAGTAAGAAACTATTTGGATATTACTCTTCTCAGTCGTTGGATTGGCCGTCGAGGTTCTACAGAATGGCCAGCCCGCTCACCAGATTTGACACCTTTGGAATTTTTTTATTGGTCTATTTGAAGCAGAAGGTGAACGAAACTGAATCTGCTTCAATATTGGATATACGGCAGAGAATCATAAATATTTGTAGAGATATTGACGTTAGTGTGTTCGAAAATGTTCGACGTGAAGTATCGGATAGGCTGTTCATATGTCAAGAAGTTCAAGGCAACTATTTCAAGCATCTTCTGAACTGACCTCAAGCTTATTACCTCATATTATGTTGAATGTCAATGTATTCAGGCAATTATTGGAAGTTCCGCCATTTTGTAGTAGTTGAAGACATTGACATTATAATCTAGGGTTGTGAAGCATTTGTCAGGAGCTTCAAAAAGATGTGTGAGAAGATTTCCCTTTCCATTTAATTTTTCCCAGTTCCCATCTTGTATGTTTCGTCTGTCAATTTCACTTCAGAATAAAGTATTCATGCAATAATTTCATTATCAAAAATTTCAATTTTTTGTGTTGACCCGTTCAAAAAATTAAAGGAGGGGGGCATTGAAGAAAAGCACTGTATATTTGACAAGCTTCAGGTGGGTACGGTTAAATACGTATAACTGTGATATCTCACTGAATCCTGATTCAATCTGATCGAAATAAGCGCCCATCACTAGAATTAGTGCACTTTTGCCAACGTAACACAAGTCGATTAAATCCGTCAGCATGAAATTTGTTCACTGGGGATTCGATAAAGTTAACAAGGACAGTGTTTGCTTTCTGCTGACGCAATTTTTGGTTCATTCAGTCGATTTCCTCACAATAGGACTCTACTGTGATGATTTGGCCCGGTTGCTGAAAATTATAGCGAATCACACCAGCGGCTGACTACCATACAGTAACCATTGGTTTTTTATGGGTTTTCGTCTGTGGAAAATGCCTGATGGCACAGCGGTATCAAACTACTGCTCTGAATGTTTCTTGTTGTCGTAGAGGATCAACAGACCTAGAAACCTGACAATTTCTATCGATCATTCAGATCGTGAGGCACAGTTTTCTGCTTTGATAAGTTCGTTGGTGATTAAAATAGACACCAATATGTCTTGGCACAATCATGTCGCTGGAATTGCAAGGGCTGCTTCTCAAAAGCTTGGAACACTGTTCCGAACAAGAAAAGTGTACACACCTCAGCAACTTTCGATGCTTTATAAAGCTCAGATCAGATCTTTCTTGGAGTACCCCCAAACATAACCTGAAATTGCTGGATTTCATTCAGAAAAGATCCATCCGCTCCGCCTGATTGGAGACGAGAACATCCCGTGCAACCTTGATAGCCTGATACATCGAAGAAGATTTGTCTCTCTTCTACTCTCATGGGAAGTGTTAAGTGATTTGGCACATTTGATTCCACCAAGAGCAGTACATATCATAAATACGCTACGGATTGTGGCTGCTCATCGTTTTGAGGTTCAACTCAGTACACCTCGCACTTCCATCTGGAGAACTGCGTTTATGTGGAATAACATTTCTGAGCGATTCAAATCCAATGTGAATCGCTACTTTCGCACAGGCACCGCTCTGAGAGCGCCTCAAAGATTTACCTGTAGTACTTGTGTTGTGTCTTTAAAAAAACCACTCTTATAGCTTTTTGATCTTTTCAATACGTTTTGAACCATCCAAAATCGCATGAGAGCTAACGCCCAGTTTTTTGCCATCCCACGCACCTTTTGTGAAAGGTCAGTCTCCACCAAGTTCCTCAAATCCTCATCTTGGATGACTGTAGGTTGACCACTACGGAGCTCATTTTCGAGGCTAAACTCTCCTGAACAATATTACTCCAACCAACGTCGAAGAGTGCGTTCATTAACACTATCATTGCCACATTTCTGATTCATTTTTTGGACTGTTTCGGTAGTACTCAGGTTCAACTTGAATTCGTAGAGAAAAATCTGCCGAAAATCGTATAGTAAGAAGCTGAAAGGAGGCAAAAAATTCTCTATCGATCGGTATATACCAGAACACAGTATAATAAATATTTATCGCATGAATATAAAACGGGCAGAACTTTTGAAAGAACCTAATATAGAACTAAGCACTTGTTGCGGTTTTCTAACCTGCAATATAGAAATTTCGAGTTGATGAATCGTTCAATCTTGTTAATCTCGGATTTCCATCAGTTATCAGCCAATTCCACCTCAAATCCATAAGAAGTTCATACAAATTCTTTTCACGATTGAAAGTAAATACTTAGAGTTTATGGAGCATTTTTCTCTGTCGTTCACATTTCCCATTACGACAAATCCTAGACCTAGTTCATGTTGGAATTTCTGCTGATCGATTGAAACAACTAGAGCCACCTTTTTCTATCTACTTTCGCGCTCAAAAAACCAAAACTTTCCATGTCTTTCGTCCAATAACTTTCGTCGCCCCACTTAAAACCGTATTATAGGTCGCTGAGAATTCCCCTGTTCTCGCTTAGCATTTTGTCGAGTAATCGGAAAAAAACGACTAGCGTCTGTCTCCGGGGACTGGAACAATGGACGTGAAAAGTCATTTTTCTCTCGAGATTTTTTGGCGATTGCAACACTATCTGGCGGTAATGTTCTAATTCGAAGCCCAAACGGGCGCAAACGATGTGGATGTGCACGAACGCCGGAAGATAAACGCCTCGTAATTGCGGAATTAAATTCGGGATTGTTATACACCAACTGGTACTTGTTTTAGATTGAGAGCGATTTTGATTTTAGCGATCAAGGCGTCCACGCAGATGAGCGTTTATTGGAGGGCCCACAAAAGCACAGATTACGTCGTTCATCGAGTAAAATACTTGTATATATAGGGTCTTTCATTAAGGGTCTATCTTCAAATTCAAGTATGTGTAAAATAATCGAACTTTTTTTATTTGTTTGAAATACTTATTGATTAAATTATTTATGGAATATAACACCGTTCAAAAAAACTAATCATTACAGTTTATCGTATGATTTTTACTTTAAAGGGTTTTACAAAACACCCGTATCGCGGTCTTTGTGAGACTCTTCAAAGTGAAAATGTCTAAATAAATATATAACTCAAAGATGACTGACTGACATATGCTGTAAAAAATATTTTACACCATCTAACACCAGCTGACACCGACTGGTGTCCATATAGGTCCTCATTTTTTTAGTGACAAATAACACCGACATATTTTACACTACTAAAAGGATCATGGGTCACACCAAATTTGGTGTTATTTACAACACATATTTTATTTCAAATTAATATTCCTTTTTTTGATTTTGAGTTCACTCAGTGTGTTTTCAAAGTTTTATGGTGAATATTATAAAAAATTTCGGTGTGGAATTCAATAATTTTTGGTGTGCATAAACAACAAAAATGTTTCCTTCAACATTTTTGCAGTGCGATAAAACACAATTCTGGTGAAATGTTACAAAATAATAATGTGAATTTACACTACATCTGGTGTGAATTTACTTCAACTGGTGATGTTTTTTTCATTTTATCGTAATATTTTCAATATTCAAGTGTTTTTTAAACTTAGTTTTGAGAATGTTATTCTTGACAGTGGTTTAAAGCACTTTTTCGGAGTGAAAAAGCACTATATTGAAGTGAATCAGGTCTCTCTCTGTAAATATTTTGGGTGTAAATTTACACTAGATAGTATTATATCATATTCTCCTGGTGCAAAATTTATCTTTTTTATTTCGAATGCATACTAGCACCAGTGTTTCTGTAAAAACATTTCGTGTAATTCTCAACTTAATTTAATGTATTTGTAAAATACATTAAAATGATAAATAATGAAAAAACACCGGTTGTGGGTATGAATTCGAAAGAGTTACTCAAGAAATTGAATTCGCCTAACAAAAACAAAGGAAAACAAACATAAATCATGTATAAATCCCATTTATTATCAAAATATGTATCTGTGGAAAACATATTTTCCTCAAATAAAAATAACGTTTACATAATTAGTTTAGAAATAATAGCTCTTTTGAAAACCTAACTGAACATGATTGTTGTTGACAATCGGTCAGATACCAAAATATCAATAATTCAAACTTAAGAATATTATTGAATAAAAACAGATTTTGGAGTTCTTCAGTAAGATTCATTTCCTCTGATGTTATCGAAACATTCTGGTCATGAAGGTGTTTGGCAGGAGGATTGTTTCTCTCTATTTCATTTATTCTATTCAAAGTTGTCAGTCGATTTTCAGGATACCCTCCATTTGTGCTCGGGTTGAAAAAAATTTCCTAAAATATTACATTTTCATTTTACATCTAAACACAAAAGTCATCAATCATGAACTCACGTAATCCCCTGTAGAACTTTCCGAATTTGTGTACCTACACTGGGAAAATTTCAACTAATTTTTTTGCGCACTCCATTTTTGCGCTCTTGGGTACTGCACTCCCATATTTTTCGTAAAGCACATTTGCAGTTATGTCAACTAACTGTATTCTGCTTCTGTCAGTCAACAGTTTATTCTTCTGGTACTGGTCTATTATGTACTTGCCCGCCGCCACTAATAATTTGTGTTTGTAGATCGTACAAAAAAATAATTATAACAATGATTCACATACATACATTACATAACAATGATTCTACATAGTGAGTACCTAAATCTACAGCTGAAATATTTTCCATTCTGCAGCTAATTGAAAACGTATATGTAGAGTTATTAGTTCTATCAAGTTCTATCAGTATCACATATTGCCTTAAAAGTGGATTCTACAAAACAAAATCCGTATTTGTAATAATTTTTTTTATTTAAAAAGTCACAGTAAATTTTTGAAAACCTCGAATTCAAACGAAATAAATTAGATTTTGTGAGAAAATATATTGGAAAAAAATGTATTATTCACCTGACAATATGTCCAAAGGAGCTAAGGTCTCGGAAATCGGATCAGAATCTAAAAATATCCTTAAATAAGGTTCTTCTTTAGATTTGTAGAAAAATTACAAAAAATCATCTTCAAATCCAGTGAATTCTTTATCTTTTTTAAAAAAATTATTTCACTATGAATACCCACCTTTTTTTTTACTGAAACAAAGACAAAAACTGTCATAATATAAAAAACAGATAGTTGGTGTAAGCGGTGTATTTTCTGAATCGAAATTTTGCTGTCCTACACCAGGGGGTGTTGAACCACGCCTAGGAGTGTTGGTTGACACTGAATCGGATTTTATGCAGGTACAAACTGGTGGTTGATCATCAATTCCAAACTTTTATTTCAGGTAAAATATTAACGGAAAAACGTGAAATTAGACACATGTTCTTTGAAATCACCTATAAAATCTAGAAGTTGACTGAGTACAGCTTTGAAATCAATATTATACGTATGGAAGTATAGCCAACCATAATTCGCTGAGAGAGTGGACTTAATTAAGCATGTGAAATACAATTTTAGAAATACTTACTAGCAGATTTGATTACTTCTGGAGCCAAAATTAATTTTCATGCACTTCATTGTTCAAATTTCCACTAGAGGAACAATTGCCACAGAAAGTGAATAATGCACCACTGCGATGTAAAACAGGACCACTGAATGTGATGTAGGATACCTTTTATAGGAATTGCTAGCGTTTTCTATATACACCAGTGACATTCCTTCCAGAAGTTTTAAGTTTTAAGATGTCTGATATCCAATTTCACTATACACAATAACGCCAACCAAGCACAGACAATAATTGGTTCCCAATAGCGAATTTTTTACAAACAGACGTCCTACTGTGTGTAAAATTTGGAGTAACTCTTTCAAATCCACGGCTGTCTGACTGATTTGATACGATCCTAACAGTGGTGTTATTACAGCGTTGCGAGTAAAATACGAAAATAATAAGACCTCAGTCAAATAAAAGTTCAAATAAATTCAAATATAAAGTAAGTGTTTACTTTGTATTCCAGCCTCAGAAAAATTAATTGAATGATTATTTCTTCCGTCAAATAGTAATTCCACAGAAATCTTGGAGGTTTCAAATCTAGGTAACATTTTTTTCTCAAAGGAAACATGTGAACTGTTCAATAGATACCACTTTGTAATTTTATAATCTGAAACAAATCTTTTTCCTAGTATCCATGATGATGATGATGTCCATGATGAAACCTGTGATGGATCTCTGTCTGATATTGGATCATGGATGGAATGCTTCGTTGCTTATCAATTTCATAACTCTATGATTGGCTGGAAGAGCAAATTGTTGTTCTATGAACAAGATTTTTCATCTATACCATTGTATTGATTGGTATACATATTAAGATTGTGCCGGTGGGATCCTTACCACGAAGCTTCGACCCACTCGGAGGGCGCGCTGGCGATGGCTAATGACCTCTCCCCACAGCTTGGGATAGGTGATCACTGGGTCCGAAAATCATGTGCTCTGAGTAGACGTAATGATCCAAGAATGACAGCCTTTTGCATTTGTCCAGCCAAGATTTCTGCCGTATTGCGACAATCCGGTATGATCTCAAGATTTTAAAGTAGAAAGGGCATCATTCCACCAAGGACTCCAATAATCAGAACAACAATTTCAACAGAGTGGTTTGGGTAGCGTCTGTAAAGTTTGAAGAATAGATCTCGATATTCCACCCGTTTTTCCTTCTCTTTTCGGACGATATTCGCCTTACCCGCATCTGAAAACTCCACGACAAATATCGTCTCACTTTGATGTTCGAGGAGAATTACATTAGACTTATTTGCTTGTATCAGTGTGAGGAGAGGAAAAATGAATAGTTCCAATAAATTCGGCACTTCTCATTGTCCAAAACGAATTCAATATCGCTTGGAGCACTCGACCTGAGAAAAGCAAAAGTCAGGTGCTTCAATTAGCTTCAATTGCTTCAATTAGTGTTCAATGTTGTTAAATTAAGACACCATGTATTGGTCTGTGTAGCTCTATGGCCTCAACTCCATAGAGCTATTTAAAAAATATTGCCAAATGAAGTATGGCAGCACTGTCAGTCAATGAATAATAAACCAAATGACTAAATTGAAGTACTACTCTATGTCACTAGTAGGTACCTAATGGATAAAATGTTTCAACCATAAAAGAATTTTAACATTATAAATAACAATGTGCAGAAAAAATAAGGACAATTATGACATACAAGAGAGAGAGGTGATAATTTTTTAAATCTCTGCACCATATTTCAGAATATATTAATTACTCCTCAAGCATGAACTATCTATTATTAAAATTACACTCAAATATTTTTTACTGTGATAGTGATCTATCAACGCACAGCCCAAACCACTGGACGGATCGGGCTGAAATTTGGCATGAAGGTAGATGTTATGACGTAGGCATCCGCTAATAAAGGATTTTGATCAATTCTACCCCAAGGGGATAAAATAGGTGATGAGAGTTTATATGAAACTTTGTCAATTTTGAACCGATCGGGTTGAGACTTTGCATGCATAAAGCTACTATGACGTAGGCATCCCCTAAGAAAGGGTTTTGATAAATTCCACCCCTAAAGGGATAAAATAAGGGATGATGAAGGATGAAAAATATTAGTTTGAACCTATCAGTACCTAATGGCACGACTAAATTACGACTAACAAAATAATTTTTAGTTCTGAATGTTGACAATAGATGGCGTTAGTAGTATTTTAAAACGCGCTATCGTTGTGTTTTTACTGAATTACATATACCTGATGATGAGTGGCCGCCGTATCTAATAGTGCATACTATACCTAAATATTTCTAGCGGATTATATTTGACGATTTTGGCTGTTCTCTACTGGGCATATTTTGGATTGCATTTGCTTTGTTTCGGTTTAGTAGTTTTGGTTATAGACTCTGCTGTATTTGTCATTTTTTTGTTTTCGTTTGGTTTAAGTATAGGTTTTGTCGGTTAGACTTTTTTAAAATGGCTAAAGAAAATCTGAACGTTAATGGAGAAGTTGAAGAATATACACCCTATTGTTGGTGACGAAGCATGTTTGTTTCGTTCTCTCTCTTATTTAATGTACGTAACACAAGATAGAACGATGGAGGTGCGTTCAGAAATTGTCAGATATGTGGTTAATGACTGGAGCAAGTTTTCAATTATGACCCACGACAGAAATACTAATAACTACGTAACACCTGATGAATATTTTGGTGATATGATGAAAACTGCTAATTATGGCGGATTTTGTGAGTTAATAGCAGCAGGATTAATATTCCCATTTATGTTTGAAGTTTATAGAAACGTTCTCATATATACGGAATCTGGATCTAACGACTATCCGGTAAGGCGATTACGATTCAGCAAAGATTTGTCCAGTGGGCATTTTGATGCCTATCTTCCCATAGCAGCACAGAAAATTACTTGGCGTCGTATGGAGGTAGCTGTAGAAGAACATGATTTTGGAATTGATACACCTTCGCAACTTAAAGTTGATAAGGGTTGTCAGGAGGTACTTGTTTCAGAGCGTGAACATTCACCTATTGTATCTTCAATAAAACATGATGAAAATTTAATAAGAAGTTTATTGTCCCAATCTGAGTTTGTGACATTATTAGAAAAAAAAAAGGTGGGGCAAGGTTTACTAATTACATACGAAAAAATCAAATAAAAAAGCACAAAAAAATTTGGACAGACTCTAACTGAATCCCACTGTAAAGTTGTGTCTGAATATAAGAAAAAAAACCCTGATTTACAGAGACAAGCTGTCGCCACCTACCAGGCTGCATACTCTGAAAAACACAGGCAATCTGTCGCCACCTACCAGGCTGCAAACCCTGAAAGACATAGGCAATCTGCTGCACCAGAAATGCCGATATGCATAGAGTGATTCAGTCACGGTATAGAGAAAATACAATTCAGCGTGTATGGAGGAGCAAGTTGCTTTCGGGTTTGACGTATGACCCAGATATTGCTTATGGAACTGACAGCAGTGTAGTCTTAGGTTTTATGGTCAGCCATGAAATGGAAAGATGAAACACCTGGCATGTGTTGTAGCGCCGGTAAAGTACAACTTGCCTGAACCACTTTACAGTCTGGTTAATGATTTACACCCAAATCATGTACACTTCATGGATAATATTCGAAAATATAATGGCTGTTTTCAAATGACTTCCTTTGGTGTAAAACAAATGGAAGAAGGCGGTTTTTCACCAACATTCAAGTTCAAGGACAAGTCTATCATTTAATTGGAAATATATTACCGGAACCTGGACAGGATGCACAGTTTCTGCAAATTTATTTCATCGATGAAGATGATAGAGAAGCTAATATTCGATTGTTAGGAGCAACCGCCCTATATATCGATAGTCCAGTTATGCGTAATGAAGATGATTCATGGAAGTAAGCAACTGTTTATCGGGAGATATTCATTATTAAGTAGACTAGAGTAGGATACGTTTGTTGTGGCCAGAAAATAAAAATAAATAAAAAGTGTAGAGATTCCAAGTAACGTTAGTTCACGTCGTTTCTATTGTTAGTATCTACAATCGTCTTCGGGTGATAACTGGTCCAGTTTTATTCTCTTTTTTCATTTCTTCATTTTTATTTATTCGATTGTTTTATTTATACTTATATTTTATTTCATATTATCTCATTTCAGGTTTATTTTGCTTAATATAATTGTTATTTTCAGTTATTCATTTTTAATTTTTTTTTTCGTTGTTTCAGGGATTTCAAATCATTTCATATAGTACACAATGGAAGTCCGAACTAGTGAAATTCATCATGAAACATTGTCAATCACCTTCAAAAAAACATAATTGGAGTGCCCACACGCAGAATGAGCTTATGACAAGGCAAACCTGGCGATTTCAATGAATTTAAAAATTATACAGGGTAATTAGTAGCGTCATCTGTATTAACCACATTGTCAATTGAAGTATAGACCTTTTCATAGTCCTCAAACGACATGAGCAGGATATCGTTGATAGCTGCTGCTTGATCGTTCTTTGGATTAGGTATGTCACGCCCACATAACCATTCAATAGGCTTGTCATGTATATGAATAATATCTGGATAAACTTCAGACAGCAATTCTTGAACCGTTGTAACAACTGTGCACAATTCTTCCGGTATGTTTATCATTCCATCAAACGATGGAAAATCACCATTACCGATTTTGAGAATGTTGTCTGAAAATCTACCAGCTGACTCATCTCCGCCCAAATGTGCTCTCATATTTTTAGTGAGCTTGATAATATTAACCTGGGGCCACAAATTAGATTTCTTAATGCACCACTTTACTTCGTCAGCTTTGGTTCCTTTTGGTAGAGTCTGCCAAAATTCCCAGGCCAGCAAATAAGGCTCAAATCCCACCTTTATGAGCCATCGTTATTTCATCCCACACGATTATTTTCGTACTCTTTAAAACTTCAGCAAAATTACTTTGTTTGGAGATGTTGCAAATGGGAGACTCGGCAGTGATTGAATTGAGTGTTAACTCAAAAGTAGCATGAGTAGTTCGACCACCTTCGAGTAACGTAGCAGCCAGCTATGCCGGACGACGCCACAGCAAGGGCAATGCCGTGAGTACTTCTTACTTTC